ACATTCTGGACAGCCCAGGAGAACCCAAAACTTGAAGTATTGCTATGGTCTGAATGTATCCCCCTCGAACTCACATACAAAATGCAATCTGCAACATAATCGTATTGAGAGGTGGGGTCTGCAGGAGACAATTGGGGGCCTTTAGGAGGGGATTAGCATGCTTATAAAGGAAGCTGGAGGAAGCCCATTTGCCCCTTCCACCATGTGAGCACATATAGAAGTCGCCATCTGTGAGGAATGAGCCCTTGCCAGGCACCAAATCTGCTGGCGCCTTCATCTTGGACTTCCCAGCCTCCAGAACTGTAAGCAATCCATTTCTGCTCCTTATAAATCACCCAGTCTAAGGTATTTTGTTAGAGCAATTCAAACAGATTAAGATAATAAGTATCCTAAGAGACTTTGGTGCGTTTCAGAGCCCGAGGTGAGAACACACACAGGTCACTTGTGGAAAGCTACAGTCAGACACACGGTCACCCGCAGCAGTGGGGCAGAGGTGGGTAGTGGCCAGGGAACCCCAAGCACTTACGGGAGCACAGCGATGGCGGCTGCCCTGGGCGGCATGCCGCTGTTCTTCCCAGCCAGGCTCTGGCAGAGCTGGTGAACAGCACCCTTGGCCATGCCGTACCCGATCATACCTGGGAAATGGGGAGAAGATGGCTTAGTGACCACTGGCGGCCAAGGGGACAGCAAGGACATGCAATCTTCTCTTGAGATCTCTCGTCCCTGAAAACTTTATAAATAGCTGTGTCTGGCCTCCTCCAGGCCGGACGCCCTCACCAACCCCCACCAAAAAATGGCACAGAGCCATGAGAAAGAGGGGATGGGAACAGGTGGGTTGGGAGTTATGGCCTCTGGCCAGTTTCCAAGAACACAGGCTTCACACAGGCCACCAGTATGTCCAAGGTGCAGCATTCCAGGGTCCGGAAGAGGCCAGGAAGAAAAGATAAATGAACATTTATGGGGAGAAAGTGAAGGGGACATGACATTTCAAGTGTACCTACTATGCATCTAACACTTAACATTTATTACACAAGCCAAAAGGTTGATTTTATTTTTATTCTTAGGAAACCAAGACTCAGACAGGTTGAGTACATGCCAGGCTCACACACAAACGTGTGCCACAGCTGATGGAGAGGTTAAAGCCCAGGCAAGAACTGGGTTCTGAACCCTTTGATCACTAAATGCTGGTGAGCACCTGGCACACAGAGGCACTTAATGGGACAGCAAAATCAAGCAGTTATTTGTAACACAGGCCTTGAAGTCAAATTAGACACATTCAAGTCCCAGTTCCTCCACTTACCACTAAAGAAATTCTGGGCAAGTTCCCAAAACCTCTCTAATCCTCAGTTGCTGCATCTGTAAAATGGGTTTGAGGTGTTTTCCAACACAATCAATTCTCTAAGTCTCCAGACACCAACTGGGTGTCTGACAATTCACTTAGAACTCCCAGCTAGGTGTGGTACCTCATGCCTTTAATCCCAGCATTTTGGGAAGCTGAGGCGGGAGAATCCTTTGGGCCCAAGAGTTCAAGACCAGCCTGGGCAACATAGTGGGACCCCATCTCTACAAAAATTAGCCATGCCTGGTGGCACATGCCTGTGGTCCCAGCTACTTGGGAAACTGAGGTGGGAGGTTCACTTGAGCCTGGGGGAGGTCAAGGCTGCAATTAGCTATGATCACGTCACTGTACTCCAGTTCGATTTAAGGGCTCAGTCTCACAAGACCGACCCTACTTCAGATGCCAGTCACAAGTCCTGGGCCACTTAGACTTCTGACCAACAGGCTGAATCGGGGGTTTGCACAACAACTTCTTCAGGTGCAATCATTTGCTAGAATGGCTGGAAGAACTCAGGCAAACACTTTTTTTTTTTTAATAGTTCCCGGTTTATTATAATAAAAGGATACAACTCAGGAACAGCCAGGTGGAATGACACAGAGGCAGGGTAGGAGAGGGGGTGGGCATGGAACTTCCATGACTGCTCCAACCACGCCACCCTCCCAGCGCCTCCATGTGTTCAACCCAGACACTCATCACATCTGGAAGGTTTTGTACAGCTTAATCTCCAGCCCCACTCCCTTCCAGGACGTTGGTAAGTGGAGCTGAAATTTCTAACCGCCTAATCGCTTGATCATTCTAGGAGGTAGCTCCATCCTGAGGCTGTCTAGGGGCCTCAACCTACTAATCACCTTATCAGTATAAACTCAGGTGTGATCCAGAGGGGCTCATTACGACACACAGGAATAGAGTACTTAATTCCGAGCACACCCTTAGCACAGGACAGGCACTCAATGAATGTTTCCCATCAAATCAATAGAAGAAATGTGCCCTGGAACTCGACTACCTGGCTTTGTGTCCAGGCTCCGCTGCTTGCTGGTGACTGTCTCTGGGAGAGGCTACTAAACCTTGGAATCCTCAGTTTCCCACTCCATGAAATGAGAATGGCAATCCCAAATCCTAACAACAATCAAATAAAATACCATGTACAAGTGTAGCAGACAGGGAGGGTCTCCAGGGACTACAGGAGTTTCAACAGCTTGAACAATCAGCCTGTTTCACAGCCTGGTTTTTCCCACAACTTGCATGGAATGTAGTCAACTAGTCAGGTGAAACCAGCAACTTAGAGATGATCCCAAGTGGACTTTCCTCATTACCATGCTACAGCTTCATCACCAGAACATGTGACTATGTGCTGGAGTGATGACTCACTGCATCTGTGCCCCTGGGACCCCTCCTCCACGTGCCGTGACACACCCTCTCCCCTCTCCATCACCCCAGGAAACCCTCCTGGGAGAGACACTGCTTTGGAGAATACTTCCAGCATCCTCCTTAATTATGTCAAGTAATAAAGCTCCATTGATTTTTGTTTTCCAGGTTAACAAATCCCCTTTGTACAGTACTGAGCACAGAGGAACACTCAGTCCTGGCCATTATTGTCATTCATGACTCTCAGCAGGTCACTGGCAACTCTTTTTCCACGGACAGCAATAAGGAGTTGCAAAAAGGGTCGTCAACTTGGAATTCAAAAAGTGCAGCCCTAACTCCTGCTTTTCCAGCCACCAAAAAAAAAAATCACAGGTTCTGTAGGCCTGCTTTTTCCATCTGTAAATGGGAGTGGTAACTCAGATCACAATTTATTCACAAGGCCGTGCTGAGGATGGCGGGAGACTGCATCCAAGAAGGGCGTTGGAAACCATGGAGGGCACGCACAGAACCCGATCAGTGCGGAGGGAGCCCAGCCTGGTGTAGCAATGGCTTTGCTCAGCACCTTGCCAGGGAGATGTTCTCCCAGTGACTGCAGCAGGGAGCGGGTGATGCTTCTCCCGCTCTCCCAGCTCATCATTATTCATATTACAATACATGATTCCTCTCCAGATGAAGCAGTCATCTGCGGCCCATCAGGGGCATTTCCTTCCTTATCAGCGATGGAAGGACTGTGACATGATTGGGAAGGTGACAACTCCGGCCTTAACACCATCAAACCAACCTGCCATCACTCTGCTGCCTGTAAAGCCAGAGCCTGGAAAGGGGCAGCCATGGACCACCTGCTCCCGGGCATCAAAGCTCACTTACCACACCCCATGTCACGGAGCCTCTTCCATGTGGGGATCCCTAGGCTCAGTGTTAGAAAGACAAAGAAGCACAAGGCAGCTCTCTGGCTCCCAGGCACGGCACGGCACACCAGAAAGAACCCAGAATCTGGACTTCAAGGCCACGGCTTGGAACCCAGGTGTTTCCTCACCACTGCGACTTGGGCGAGCAGCTCTTTCAGCCTCTGGTGCTTCCCTGCTAAATGGGATCTCATGCCCAGGTCATAGGCTTTCCTGAAGACGACGTGAAACGTGACACGCCTCATGAACTCGAAAGGGCTCTTTCATTCCCAGAAGAAAGTAAGTTCCACAGAGGCAGGGATTTTCATTGTTTTGTTTACCAATGTACCCCAATTCAAAAGGTGGCATTCAATAAATACTTTATTTGGCCAGGTGAGGTAGTTCAGGCTTGTAATCCCAGCAGTTTAGGAGGCTGAGGCAAGTGGATCTCTTGAGCCCAGGAGTTTGAGACCAGCCTGGGCAACATGGCAAAACCCTGTCTCCACAAAAAATACAAACATCAGCCAGGTGTGATGGCGCGCACCTGTAGTCTCGGCTACCCAGCAGGCTGAGGTGGAAGGATGGCTGGAGTCCAGGAGGTCGAGGCTGCAGTGAGCCAAGATCATGCCACTGCACTCCAGCCTGGATGACAGAGCCAGACCATGTCTCCAAAAGAAAAAAAAAAGTAAAATAAATAAATAAATAAATAAATAAATATTTTATTCATTGCTTTCAGAAAAGAGCAATACGTGGGTTTCTCAAAGGAGGATAATGGGGCTTAATCAAATGGTGGGCACTCCAAAACGGTGGGAATGAAAAAACAAACTGGGGCCAGGCACGGTGGCTCACACCTGTAATCCCAGCACTTTGGGAGGCCAAGGCCGGTGGATCACCTGAGGTTGGGAGCTCAACACCAGCCTGACCAACATGGGGAAACCCTGTCTCTACTAAAAATACAAAATTAGCTGGGAGTGGTAGTGCGTGCCTGTAATCCCAGCTGCTCTGGAGGCTGAGGGAACAGAATTGCTTGAATCCGGGAGGCAGAGGTTGTGGTGAGCCAAGATTGCGCCACTGCACTCCAGTCTGGGCAACAAGGGCAAAACTCCGTCTCAAAAACAAAAAAACAAAACGAACAAACTGGTAGCTCTGTTCATTAAAACTATGGTAGGTGATTCTCAGTAATTCATGAGTTTCTCAGTACTCCAGACAAACTAACTTTTAAATTATTTAATCTATGATGAAGTGAAAAGAGTAAGGCACAGAAAAGCCTCTATTGAGTCATCAAATTTTGGTGTTTTTTTTTTTTTTTTTTTTGAGACAATCTTACTCTGTTGCCCAGGCGGGAGTGCAATGGTGCGATCTCAGTTCACTGCATCCTTGACCTCCAGGGCTCAAGCAATCCTCCCACCAAAGCCTCTTTTTTTGTTTGTTTGGAGACAGAGTTTCACTCCAGGCTGGAGTGCAGTGGTACGATCTCGGCTCACTGCAACCACTGCCTCCCAGGTTCAAGCAATTCTCCTGCCTCAGCCTCCTGAGTAGCTGGGATTACAGGTGCCTGCCATGATGCCTGATTATTTTTGTATTCTTTAGTAGAGACAGGGTTTCACCATGTTGGCCAGGGTGGTCTCGAAGTCAGGTGAACCGCCCACCGTGGCCTCCCAAAGTGCTGCGATTACAGGCATGAGCCATCGCACTCTGCCAAATTATGGTGCTTTTTAAAAAGTATATGAGTATGGCATGGGCGCACAGTAGAATGGCACAGAATGCTTCCAGAAGGACACCCAAGAAGCCACCACTGTAGTTGGGTCTGGGAGGGAGTGCCATAGAGATCAGGGGTGTGAGTAGGAGAGCATCTCCCTATTCATTGTGTTTCTTTTAGTGCCAAGTGAATTTTTACTACATGCATTGGTTAGTTTTCCAACTTAAATATTGATTAATTAAATTACTTAAATAAAAACTAAGACCGTGCCTTCTTAGCTTTTCCCATAAGCTCTACTTGTCAAAGCAAGTCCTTTTCCAAGACCCTATTTGAATCATCTCCCTCAACAAAACCTTTTCAGAGGTGGACTCACCCCGCCAGGAGCACTGTGCTTAAACTGTAATTTAGCCCGGTCTCACACTCACACCACCCGCACGCCTGCTGCCCGCAGAAGGCTCTCAATATAATTATATTATCTCAATAGAACTATAAAATTATCTCAACATAATTATATTATCAGTAATTGCTATAATTACTGATTATAATTATATATTAATTACTGATCAACTTATCACTCAGACCCATCTGCTACTAACTAGCCAGGTTGTCTTACAGAAAGCACCTAAAATCACTGAACTTTGGTTTTTTCCCTCTATAATCAAGGGAAAATAATAGCACCTACTTTACAGACACCTCTGGTGATGAAATAAGATCAAGCTTAGCCCGACAAGCCAAGCACCCAGAAGACAGATGCCTAAAAAGATTTCTTCCTTTTTCTCCAAGTCTATGGAGGTATAACTGAAATACAACAAACTTAAACATGTTTAGGGTGTACCATTTGAGCAAATTTTGACATTGTGTATACCTGCTACCGATTGGTCTTCCCTTCCTCCCACTATTTGATGACTATTTGCTGACTGAATCAAGGGTTGCCTTTTATTAGGGTAGGTTTCCCTCTGCCCTGCAGGCATGTGGCAGGAATGAGGTCTCTTTCCTCTTTATGTTCCCCCACTGCACCCAACTGTAGCTGCTCGCTAAATGCTGCTATCATAGCAACAAGAAGGAAGGGTGAATCACTGTAAACCTCTCCACCTTCTGAAAACCACTGTTTCTTCTAGAGGTCATAGGCCTCCCTAAAATCCTTGGCATACACACTGTTTAAAATGTAATCGCTGTGGAGGCATCACAGGTCCAGCAGGAGGCGGGAGGATCACAGCCCAGCCAAGGAACCAATCACAAAACTGCTTCAACAACAACCTCAAATTGCAAAAGAAGGTCAAGGTCTCAAAGAGCTATTTGGAAGCACAAGAAGAATATTTCACCATCCCTAGCTTCTCTGTTTAATCAGGGGGCAGTACAAAAACATAACAAACTCTTCAGTGATTAAAATAAACCAGGGCATAAGTGCTCATTAATCCAGCCCTGGTCCTCAAAGTCCCAGAGCTCTCTCTTCACTCCATTCAAACAACACAACACAAGAGCAGGGACTCTGACGAAGGAAAGAAACAAGCAAATGGCAACCGTAATGGCCTAGTTCTATAGAATGACCTTTCCTTGGGCACACAAAACGAGTTATTTGCAAGACATGGAAAAAAGGCATTTCACTAAGAAGGTCAACACTTCCAAATTATTAAATAATCAGTGAGGTCCCCCAAAAGTGATTTCCAATCACAGCACAGATCCTTTAATGGTAAACAAAAGTGACCACCATTTTAATACAGTTTGTCCTACATTAGACAGTCTAGAAATACAACTTTGGAAATAGGAGGGTGAGGTTTTCTCCGTATCCTTCCAAGTGAAAAACTTCTCATGTGCGAACAAATCTTCTTGAGTTTGAGGGACTATTAATCCTGATTCATCGTTTACTTTCAAATTGTAGATCAATTTCCCCAGATTTTTCTGAGGTCTGCAGCATACTTAAAAGATCTCATGACTCAAATTATTAATAGCTTAACAAAATCTAACTTAAGAGCTTAGAGATGAACAAATTCATTAACATCTGAGGCAGGAACAGCTGGGCAGAAATAAGCCTGGAGTAAATAATAATAACGGCTCACACTGTTGACTCTCTGTAATACCTTTCTCGTCCGTTTAGATCCGTTAAGACATTTACAAGGCACAACCACCATATATATAAAGGAGACATTATTTAACCTTATTTTATAGATAACAAAATGGAGGCTCAGAAGGCGAAGTAACTTACCAAATGTGTAAGTGGCAGAGCCTTACCAGAAGACCAATGTGCATGGTTCCAGAGCCTACAGTCTTAACCACTACCCAAAATGTAATCAAAGGATACTTGCAAACCAAAGGAAAGTAGGAGACTCTTCTGTCATTTAGAAAAATCAGTCTTTCCATATAGCTTAGAAGGTAGATAAGCTCTGGAAAACTCTGTAATTTTGAGTTGGTCTGGTGATCATTTCTAGGCCTTCTCCCTGCAGAAAATAAAACTCTCTTCCTCCTCATCAAAAAAAAAAAGAAAAAAAGAAAAACCAGTCTTTCCATCCTAGGATTTTGTTTTTTTTAAATGTCAAGCTATGACTCCTTTCTCTGTTTACTTTCTAGTGCCTCTGCCCATGTCATCTAAAATAAAAATCAGATCTCAACCAACCAGACAGCTAACATTTACACAGCTTTAATGATTGCTATGGCCACGGACTTGTAACATCACACGCTCTAAGAAACGGAAGAAGAAAATGAGAGGCAAGGTATTGCTAGCAGTCACGGCCTCACAGTTCGGTGAGTTACATTTAAATTGAGAAGGGGCCTGGCGTAGTGGCTCGTGCCGGTAATACTCAGTGCTCTGGGAGGACAAGGCAAAGGCATCACCTGAAGCCAGGAATTTGAGACCAGCCTGGGCACCATAGCGAGACCCTGTTTCTACCAAAAATAGAAAAATGAGCCAGGCATGGCCGTGTGTGCCTGCAGTCCCAGCTACTCAGGAGGCCAAGGCAAAGGACTGCTGGAGCCCAGGCATTCCAAGCTGCCGTGAGCTAGGATCATACCACTACATTCCTGCCTGGGTGAGAGACCCTGTCTCTAAAAAAATAAATAACTGAGAAGGGTCCCAAGGTCTCTGCCACTTACTAGAGAGTCAAAGAAAGCTCCCATTTTTCTTAAAGAAGAGTTCAACTTAGATAGTTGAGGCAGACACTTCCTGCCTCCCTATGCTGCCGCTTTCTACGCCGGCTGAAATTCCTTTAGCCCTATCCCACAGGGAGTGTTACGGGCTGAAATGCATCCCCCCAACATTCATATATTGCAGTCCTAATTCCCAGTACCTCAGAATGTGACTGTATTCGAAGGTCTTTAAAGAGGCAACAAAGTCAAAATGAGCTCATTAAGGTGGGCCCTAGTCCAACATGCCTGGTGTCCTTAAAAGAGGAGGAAACGAGGACACAGACACGCAGGGGGAAGACCACGTGCAGACAAAAGGAGAAGGCAGCCATCTATAAGAGGATTCAGAAGGAGCCAGCCCCGCGGATACCTTGATCTCCAGACTTTTAGCCTCCAGAGTTACGAGAAAATAAATCTCTGTTGTTTAAGCCACCCAAGCAAATGAATACTGGTCATAAAAAGTGCAAAAGAAATGACATAATGGAAAAAGCACACAGTTGGTAAATTATTAGGGTTTTGGTTCGAGTCAGTCTGCAACTTACTTACTGCACAAACCCAGACAAGTTACTTAACTCTCCAAGTTTTAGTTTCCTAACCTGTAAACTGAAAAAGATAATATTGATGAGATTAAAGTGAGAATATATGTGAAGTGAAAAGAGTGAAGACTTTTATAAGACCTACCATTTATTGTGAATAACAGTAAGACTTACCACTTATGGGTGCCTACCATGTGGACTTTCTACATAGCAACACCTCTACAGTTTTACAGCACTCTTCAAGTTAGATGTCATTGTCACTATTTTACAATTAAGGAAACTAGAGTAGACATCTGGTCAGAGACCGAGGAACTGGTTCAGGGTCACACATCCAGGGTAAAGAATCCACCCTCAACCCTCTCATTCCCCTTTTTTTTTTTTTTAATGTAGAGACAGGGGCTCACTATGTTGCCCAGGCTGGTCTTGAACTCCTGGGCTCAAGCAATCCTCCTGCTTCGGCCTCCCAAAAGTGCTGGAATTACAGGTGTGAGCCACCGTACTGGCCAAACGAACCTCTCTCATTCTAAAACCTATGCTATTTCCAGCTGCTAAGCTGCTTCCCTGGAACACATGGATACAATGTGATACTAATAATCCATGTTGATTAATTTCCACTACACCATTCATTCCAGTGTAGATCACAGATAAATACACTAAATGGGGGGTGCCAGATCACCGTGTTCCTTACCACCATAAACATGAGGACAGGCAAACAAAAGATCGGACCTCTTCTCCCTAAAATGATTCAGGCCCAAAAGAAGGCAAAATCCATCAATCTGTGAAGCACCTTAGAGGGTAAAGGCTTTAACAATCCTCATCCCATGAAGTGCCCAGCAGCCCCAGCAAGCAAGGTAAGCACCCCCACTTCACAGATGGGGAAATAAAGGCTTACCAGGAGTCCCATCCAGAGCAGCCTTTGCGCCAGCCAAGGTCAGGAGGCCTCCTTCCTTGAGATGCTTGGTAGCCAGATGGCTGGAGATGGTCGAGGTCCATATGCTCTGCTTCCACATCAGGTCACAGTTCTTAAAGAGAGCTGAGGGAAAAAACATGTGGGCTCAGCATTCCCAGAAAAGAAACCAAAAGGTGAGCTCAACTCATACAGCCCCACAACCAGGGAAGCCCTCTCTCCTGGTCCCCAGGTCCCTGTCTACAGCAAGGTCTAATACAAACAGCACAGGGATCAGTGGTGAGAGACACGGGTTCAAACTCAGGCCATGGGATCGCCCAAGGTTCAGCCTCCTTACCTATACACTGGCAAAATGTTGGCCAATAAATTTTAGCAAATAAACCTGGAGTTCACTGATTTGCTGGACTGGCTTTAATTCAAAGATTGTTTTGTTTTATGAATGGTATCAGATTTGTAATAAGAACCTGTATGTCTACGTCAGGTTTTCTCTGTGATAAAAATCCAAGGGCCTATTACTATACAGCTATAAAGAGGGTTTTCACTGAGCTACATAATTCATGGCTGAAAGTTTAACGTTAGCTTTAAAGACTCTTTAAAAGAAAGCTAAAATAACAACCATTTCACACTTGTTTTAACTCCCTGGCCTTGCCAGAGACATAAGGAAGAACAAATGGTAACATATGTCACACCACCAACTGGGCGACTCAAAGGGCATGTGGTACCTGGTGATCCAAAACGGACGTCCTCCTGATATAGGAGGGGTCGGTAGGTGATAAACAAGGAATTGCGTTTCCCCACTAAAAAGACTAGGAAAAAACCTGATGGATCCACATTTATCATTTCTTGCTCCCGAAACACACAAAAAGGTTATCAAGCTGTTTTGCTAACCTGATCACCTCACAAAGCACTACTCTCACGTTGACATGTGGGTCGCAGAATATCAATGTATTTTTAAATGGCTTTGGCTAATAAATGTAGAAGGGAGGACAGAATCAGAAAACTACCATTTTTGGACCCCTGATAGAATAAGTGCTTCAGGCAGAGATTATCAACGGATGCGAAAAACCACTGGGTGAAAAGTATAATACTTGGGAAACAGGACATTGACACACAATACTACAGTACCATACATCCCACATATGAATTACTTCTGCAAACAGAAAAAAAGTACCTTTATAATGGAAGTCTGGCAGTTGCCATCTCAACCAAGCATCCAATTTGGCATCCCTAAGGGTAGGGCAAGCTGCCATGCTGAGCTTCCCAGGTGATGCCATGTTAAGCTTCCCAGGTGACGGCATATAAGGTACACACCATCACTCAGGAAGAATTCGCACCTCAAGAATGTTTATGCTAAATCTAACTGAGTTTCTGGACCCAAATTCCAGTTCATGGGGAATACCAAGGATAGAGGAACAAGTCAAACAGCACCTTAAAAAAAAGTTCAGACAAGTTCAGAATGTGAGACACGCTATATGAAAACTCCCAAGGACTTGACACAAAGTCTTATCACAGGGAGTTTTTTTTTTATTCTACATTTTCTAGATTGAGACTAAAAACAACATAATGCAGTACATAAACCTTGAGTGGAATATGTTTAGGGAAAAAGAATTATAACAGACATGGAATAAACTGGGGTAATTTTAATGTGGGCTCAATATCATTAATCTTAGATAATCACTGTTAATTTTCTTAGGTACAATGGTACCATAAAGTAGGACGGGCTTATTCTTTGGAGAAACATGCTGAAATATAGTGAGGCATAAACTTACTTTCAAACAGTTAACAAAAAAATGCACAAAGTACACAGGCACAAGAAAACAAGCTCAACTCAAGTACAGCAAATGTTAACAGTTACTGAATCTAGATGGAGCATATAAGGGTGTTCACTGAACTGTTCTTTCAACTTTTCCGGTATGTTTAGAAATGTTCATAATGAAAAGTTGAAAAATAGGCCAGGCGCAATGGCTCACACCTGTAACCCCAGCACTTTGGGAGGCTGACAGGGGTGGATCACCTGAGGTCAAGAATTCAAGACTAGCCTGACCAACATGGTGAAACCCCGTCTCTACCAAAAATACAAAAAATTAGCTGGGTGTGCTGGTGGGCACCTGTAATCTCAGCTACTCGGGAGGCTGAGGCAGAAGAATTGCTTGAACCTGAGGGGCGGAGGTTGCAGTGAGCTGAGATTGCACCATTGCACTCTAGCCTGGCGACAGAGCAAGACTCTGTCTTAAAGAAAAGAAAAGAAAAGAAAAGAGAAAAGAAAAGGAAAAGAAAAGATGAAAAAAGGAATCAGCTTTAGTAAAAACTCAAGTTTGACTTCTTCTGACTTTCTAAATGATCTCTGCACTTCCTACACATCCTCCAATGCCTGAATAGCACATGACCTGGGGCACAGGCCACGCTGATTTCATTCTGCCTCGACTTTAAACTCAAACTCAATGCCCCCGTCCCCTCACGTCCTCTAGGGAAAGTTTCTTTTTTATCCATAAAATGGATTAAGAGCATTAATCACTCTCTCCCCGAGCAACTGTAAAGATTCTGGGATATGTACAGAAACACAGCTGGCCTGTCACCTAGTCCATACACAATCCTTGTCAGCTGGACAAAGAACAGAGCAGAACGAATGAGTGACTCAGGACAGGACTCACACTTGGATTTGGCATTGCCCCCGGCCCATCCTCCAGCAACGCAAAGAATTGCATCCACCTTCTCTTCACCCAAGAGCTTTCCAACCTCAGCAGTCACCTTCAACACAGGAACAAAAAAAATGTATAAACTGTAAGGTAAGCCAACACAGGCTAGCATCTTTACAGATACTCAGTTTCTTTTTGTCTTCTTTTTAAGCCAGTTTACAGGACCTGGCAATTAACACTTTGAAAATTAGGTGGAAGACTAAGCTCTGATGAGCATTTCAGACTTTGAAGCCCAAGTACACTTCAGTGTAATTTTTAAAACACAATCTAGAGTCTCTCTGTATACATTCTGAAAGGTGGAGGCATGAGCATCCCTTGAAATAAAACAATTAATAAATGAAAGTAGGGAAAGATTAAAAAAAAAAATCACCTAGAGCTTCACTGCCCATACTTAACATCCTGGTATATTTCTTTCCAGACTTTCTTCACAAATCACAGAATTAGAATCCAAAAAGAAGATCAACCCTATTTTCCCCACCCCCATCCAAAAATCCCTTTAACTGCAACTCTGAAAAAAATGCCAATGAAAAATTGTAAGAAAAAGTGAGAGAAAGAAAAAATACAGTCAATAGCAATATGTTGGTAATATTAAGTACATGGGGGTTCACTTTAATGATCTCTCTGCTTCTGTTTGTTTGAGATTTTAAAGCATTGAAAATACAGGTGCCCTCTCGTTATAATTTATTAAAAGAACAGTCTGTCAGGACAGGCAATTCTGGCCATCCACCATGACCCTTCCATATTTCTCTGGAATGGCCGAGACAACACATCCCAATTGCTTCATTAAGATCAATCTTCTTAAGAGTTCTTTTTTTTTTCTTTTTTGAGATGGAGTTTTGCTCGTCTCCCAGGCTAGAGTGCAATGGCGCAATCTCAGCTCACTGCAACCTCCACCTCCCGGGTTCAAGCAATTCTCCTGCCTCAGCTTCCTGAGTAGCTGGGATTACAGGTGCCTGCCACCACACCCAGCTAATTTTTGTATTTTTAGTAAAGATGGGGTTTCGCCATGTTGGCCAGGCTTGTCTCAAACTCCTAACCTCAGGTGATTCGCCTGCCTCGGCCTCTCAAAGTGCTGGGATTACAGGATTGAGCTACCAGGCCTGGCTCAATCTTAAGATTTAAGTCAGCCTGGGCACAGTGGCTCATGCCTGTAGTCCCAGCACTTTGGGAGGCAGAGGCAGAAGGATCACTTCAGCCCAGGAGTTCAAGACCAGCCCGGGCAACATAACAAGATCTCATCCCTACATTTAATTTTTTTTAAAAAAAGACTGAAATCAACACCGTGTGTCTCTCCCAGCAGGAACATTTCAGTTGATTACCTCTTTCCCCAGTTTCATGACAAAACTGAATGTTACGCTGTTTGTTCAGAAATTCTGAAGGTTGGGGGTATGGTGGAGAAGGTACTCCTCTTCCTTTGGTGGAGTAGCGGAAGAGGGAAGAGACTTTCAAAGCTAAGTTTACAAGCACAAACGCATCTCTCAGTCTCTGTCTTAGAGATGCACTCTACTGTCAAGCCTTGGGTGGGGACAACCTCCACATTCAATCTACAGGGACATTAGAAACCTGTAATTAATCAGAGCAGAAGAGACACAGAACAGACACCAATTACAGAGACCCGCACCTGGCAGGGCTGGGGCTCTCCAAGCCCAGGCACAGCCCTTCCACTTCGTTTTGGCTTTTATTACTTCATTTTTTGTTTGTTTTGTAGAGAAGGTTAGGCTCTGTTGCCCAGACTGGAGGGCAGTGGTATGATCTTGGCTCACTGCAATCTCTGCCTTCCAAGCTCAAGCCACCCTCCCACCTCAGCCTCCCAAGTAGCTGGGACTACAGTGCCACCACATTCAGCTAATTTTTGTATTTTTTTGTAGAGATGGGGTTTCGCCATGTTGCACAGGCTGGTCTCAAACTCCTGGGCTCAAGTGATCCTCCTGCCTCAGATTCCCAAAGTGCTAGGATTACAGGTGTGAGCCCCTGCACCCAGCCATTTTAGCCTTTATTACTTTATTCACATGAAACGATTTTGCTTTAAGGCATCTTAGCATAGCAGTTAAGAGAACAGCTGTCAGACCCCCACTGCCCGTGTCCAAATACTGGCTATGCAACCTTTTATCTGTTTGACCTTGGACAAATACCAGGGCCTTTCTGTGCCTCAGTTACCCCCTTTTAAACACAAAGCTGGCCATAAACTATAAAATACAAAATTACCTAAACTTGTAAAAGGAGTAACATACAATATGCATAGAAAAAGACAAGAAAATAGGCCAAAACATTAACAGTGAACTAATTCAAAACGATTATATAATTTATCTTTGTATCATTTCTCACTTTTTCCAAATTTTCCTCAATGAGCATAAATGGCTTTCCTAATTAGAGAAACAACAGCTTTAAAAAAAGGAAGAACAGGCCAGGCGCAGCGGCTTATGCCTGTAAACCGAGCACTTTGGGAGGCCGAGGCAGGCTGATCACAAGGTCAGGAGTTCAAGACCAGCCTGGCCAACATGGTGAAACCCTGTCTCTACTAAAAATACAAAAAATTAGCCGGACGTGAAGGTGGGCACGGTGGCGGGCACCTGCAATCCCAGCTACTCGGGAGGCTGAGGCAGGAGAATTGCTTTAACCTGGGAGGCAGAGGTTGCAGTGAACAGAGATCGCACCACTGCACTAGAGCCTGGGTGACAGAACAAGACTCCATCTCGGGGAAAAAAAAAAAAAAGAAAGAACATACAGCCAGTGGTCACCTCTCCCCAGGGCTCCCCTCACAACGTTTGGGGGCCTTTTTGAAATTACCTGGTCAGCCTGCTCAGTGAACGAGTCTGTCATTTTAACAACGATGCTAGCGCTGGCCTCTTCATTCTCCACCACATCAATGCTGGCAACCCACTGGAAGGAGAAAACAGCTTTGGTTAAGAAGCAGTGAGTTGTTATTCCATGAAAGAGTCACACATAGAAATGAGGGGAGGTGGCCAGGTGTAGTGGTTCACGTCTGTAATGGCAGCACTCTGGGAGCTGATGTGGGAGGATCTCTTGAGGCCAAGAGTTTGAGACCAGCCTGGGCAACACAGCAAGACCTGGTCTGTACAAAAAATGCTAAAATTAGCCAGGTGTGGTGGCACATGCCTGTAGTCCCAGCTACCCAGGAGGTTGAGGTGAGAGGGTCACTTGAGCCCAGGAGTTGGAGAGTGCAGTAAGCTATGATCGCACCACTGTACTCCGGGCTGGGCGGCAGAAGGAGGCCTTAACCCCATTTAAAAAAAAAAAAGAAAGAAAGAAAAAGAAAGGAGGAGACTGGAGACAGGTAAGAAGCTTAAATGAAAACTCACCAGAGAAAGAAACTAGCAACCCGACCTCTCTCAAATGTTCCAGGGACACCTGTCTTTGGCCAGCCTACGCCATATTGGGCTCCATCCCAGGCCCTCCTACCTCCAAACACTCCCCTCCTCCTCCACATTCACCTCTAAAACACAAACCCTGCCGTTACCCAAATCTGCAATTGTAACAGAACACAGCAATAAATAGGGGGAAAAAATAAGTGCAGCTGTGTTCTAATAAATCTTCAGAGCTGAAATGTGAATTTCATATAATTTTCACATATAACAAAATATCTTTCCTCATTTGATTTTACTTTCAACCACCTGAAAATGTAAAACCATTCTTAAGTCTTGGGCTGCACAAAAATAGGTGGCAGACCAGATTCAGCCCACAGAGGATCCCTGCCCTACAGCAGACAGGGATGGGTTTTAGGATTGGAAATCAGACAGATCAGGTTTGAATCCCAGCTCTGCCAGATGGCGTTCTCACTCTGATGTTGGGCAGCGGTTCCCAACAAAAGAGGTTGTTTGTTGATGATTAACAGGGGCAGTGTAAGAATTAAATGAAATGGAAGAAGAGAAAGCTCCTGGCACAGGTGATGCTCAGTCCTTACTCAGGGTCTCTTGGTCTGAAGTCCGCAGAGATAATTATCTCTACCATAAGCTGTAAACACAGCATCTATTCATCAACATTTGTTATATTATTAATTAACTTGTTATCCCACGGGGGATTCTGAAACAATGAAAAGTCTCCATCATCCTAGCCCTCCCTAAGATGGCAGGAAGAATTTGGAGTAGAAAGACCAAGAGCCAGAGGTAAACCAGCTCTCCAGATTCTGCCAAGACCAAGTGCCACCACCAGGAGAAAGCACAGCCTTCACCCTCTAACACATGACACTAACGGGATCTACTACCTTAAAGTTACTGGGAGCATTAAGAGTCTGTGGGAACTCTGGTACTGGGAGCACAGTGCCTGGCCCTTGGCAGAAGTGCTGCCTCTGTCACCACCATACATCTCTTGACGACCTGGGAATGCGCCCTTATCAGTGTCCCCAGGCTCTGAGCACATGGGTGGCAGGAAGGGAGTGGTGTGACTGAATTATTTAGAAGCATATTCCTGTACCAGATTCTGAGCAAGGAGAAAACCTTGATAAATATACACTATTTGGGTGATGGTTACACTAAAAGCCCAGACTTCACCACTACACAACATATCCATGTAACTAAACTGTACTTGTGCCCCTAAATCTATAAAAATTAGATAAGTAAGTTTTTTTGGGTTTTTGTTTTTTTTTTTTTAAAGAAAATCCTGAGATCCTTTTTCTGGTCCCAGGGGAACTCTTGCCCAGGCTGCTGCTGCTGCTAAGCTCCCAGAACGCTGCCCCTGGCAGGGTCTCCACCGGGAAAGTGCTGAGGTCTGCTGAGCGGCTGGGGTCAAGGGTCTTTGGCCATGGATCAGCTCTGCTCCGACTTGCTGCCTCCTGGAAACTGACACCTGACTATGCAAAGTAGTTGAAATAGTCTTTGCAAAGCAAAGAAGCCGTCAGCGTTTTCCCGTGCTGAGAATTCAAACTGTCAGATCCAAGGGGGCTAAAAGAACAGGGGTGGGTAGTAACAGTAACATTAATAACCAGCATTTAAACAGTTTTTACCAGGCGTCAGGTAATTTATGTGCAACACCAATTATCTCATCTAATCCTCGCAACTCTCACTATCAGAATCTCCATTTTACAAATGGGGAAACTGAGGTCCTAGGGCGTTAAGTAATCAATACGCGGTCTCACGACTAGTAACCAGGACTGGGCTGTCTCATTCCAAAGCCTCCCTTTTACACTCTCTCTCCGTCCTCTCACCCCCGCTCCCGTTCCTCCCCTTTGGAATTCTCTTCCGAGTCACGCCGGACTTTTTGGGTCTGGTGGAGGCCCACGGAGCACCTCCTTGGAGAGC